GTTGACTTTCGTTCCCCCATTCTCATAAAAATTAAAGAATTATAAAACAATATATATATATATATATATATATAATATTTAAGAATGATCAGTAATCTGCGTCGTTTTTTTTTTTTTCTTTTCTTCCAGTAATCTGCGTCGTTGTGGAGGTCATATGTCCATGAGAATATTGAGAAGGCAAATGCGTCTTTTTGGAACATTGTGTCAAATAATTCAATTCGTGGTGTGATTGGTTTGGTGGGAACTGGGAAGTGAGAGTAAAAAGCCAAGTCACGCTAGCACGCGAGGCCTCACGTGGTACCACGTGCCTTGATAATTTTCTTAATGGGCTTATTATATTTTTCGGAATGATTCTTATGGGCTTTTTTTAACTCTACGTTTAACAGTACACCAACAACTACCGAAATAAACAGACCTCTAATTTCTTAATGGGCTTATTATATTTAATTTGGAATGATTCTTGTGGTCTTCTTTAACTTTATGTTTAACACCAACAAAAATGTTGTAAGATTTGATGTATAATTTGAGCAATCTTGTTAGTTTTAACATTATTTTGATTCTACTAGTCATTAAATATTCGATTCTAAGCAGAGAAACACATAATCTAAACCAAAATACTCGGGTTAGGAGATGATAGTAAAACCTTCATGTTGACATATTCTTCTATTGTTGTAAACATGGTAGAATATATTTCTGTGAAAAGTTAAGTCATATTCATATTCAATCGATTGACAAAATACACAAACTAACATAAATGTGACGGCAAACATTTGAAGAACATGGTAGTCGTTACCATTCCTCGAAGATCTGCTTTTAGGCCCACCGTTGGATTGACCCTACCATGAGATATCTCGACGATTATCAATCTAGGCAGTGCCGGCTCTCCCATGTGCGGGGAGTGCTCATGCACAGGGTCCAAAATTTTTTTATCTTTTTTTCAACTAAATTTATTAAAATTATGGCCTAATTTTTTTTTTTTATAAATATACATAAAAAATTATGGCCAATTGTTTTTTTCAGCTCAGGGTTCTTAATTTTTTTGAGCCGGCCCTGAATCTAGGCCGTACATTTGTGTGAGTGTTGCGACGAATTTATGTTTGGTCCCCTACAGCCACCGGTTCTTCTCTGTAGCACTAACGATCAATCATTATGCCTTTTGTTTTAGGTAATCATCTATGCTTTTATTTGGAAATCATTTTTCTAATATAATTTTACTACACTTAATATGAAAAATTCCAATCTGTATTGTGTATTTTTTATTGACCTCCATCACAATAAATCCATGAATGAATAAGACATTGTTGTATGTAAACTCATAAAGTGAAACGTACTCATTGTTATTTTTCTCAATAAAACTTATCTCTGATATGTAGTTATGTTGATGTTCGATTAATGAAATAGACACTACATGTAGGAAAACCAAAAAAGAAAGAAAGAAAGACAGCATCAGTGCATGTAAGTTTGCTCGGCTTTAACTAACATTAGTACTCAATATATATAGTTGACAACAACAACAAAGAAAAAACCCAACTAATCTCAACAAAATAAGACTTTTATAAGAAAACTAGTTATACATATTATTAATCCAATCTATAAACAAAAGTTTAATTAAAGTCTGTCGATTAGCTCCGCAATGCTTCAAATTATGAGCAATCAATAAACATGTATGAATGGTTTGGTTTTCTGACAATTTTCTTCTAGAGAGAATTCGACCGTCGCAAGCATGAACAAAATTCACTCTTGTTTGCTTGGATTTATAGTGAAAAGATGGTGACATAAAAGCTCCTAACGGTGATCAAACTGCGAAACCGAGAAAATGAGAAAACTAAAATAGTTTAAGAAGGGAAGGTAAGAGTTTGATAATTATTGTCTAACGCGTTTAGTGAGCTGCCTCCTCTCTGCTTGCTTTGTGTAAACACCTTTATTATTCTCCATTTTTCTATTTGTGTGAAAATATTATCATATTTTATCGAGTTTGGAGTATCATAGATTTCATTTTCATTTTGTAAATAAGTCGGGTAATCACTGCAAGTCGATCTGTAACAATGTGAAAAAAGAAACAAGTGTAAATCCATTGTTCGATAATTTATTGAAATATTTAAGCCTATAGAATTATTTCATAAGCAGCTTTTGGTTCTCTTAATGTATTTTATTTTTGTTTGCATCTTTGAAGCTGTCTCCGGGGTAAGTAGAAAGATAATAAATGCTAGTCATATGATTGGGCAGCTTTGGTTGGCATTTTGCCTTTTCAAAATTAATAAAGAAAAACAAACTCTTTGATTATATCTCACGTATATGCTTTTCTAAAATTGTTATATAGATCGATCAGATTTTTAAATTGCATGCATATCAGAAACAACAGATCGCAGTATTATATTGATAGTCTCTTATCATATTTACCCTTTTCGTTAACTGGTCTTACAACTTCTTTTTCGTATAATGTAATATTCCCTCCGTTTTCGAATAGTTGTCGTTTTAGAGAAATTCTTTTGTTTTTAATTAGTTGTCGTTTTCAGTTTTCGATGCAAAATTTATTACTTTTTTATTTTTTATATTTATTTTTATTATGCAACTTGATTTACTATTGGTTAAATTATGTTTAGGTAGATAATTAATGATATTTTTATATTGAAAAACTAACAACATTACTAGTTTCTTAATTTGTGTGCATATAGTTAAAACGACAACTATTCGAAAACGGAGGGAGTATGTGTTATATGATGATATTTGAAGAATAGTGAATCCGATCCTTAAAACTAGACCAGACTTAGATTGGCACATTTTGACAACACTTCTTTATGATTGTATTCTGTCATCGCATTATTATTAGTAGTATGAAGCTGTAAATCAGTATATATCGCATTAATATCATTAGTATACTATGAAACTATAAAGTATCTACACATTTCTGTGTAAAACGGTATATTTCCCCACGAGAACTATCGCATCACGCCAGATAGATCCCGTTCTTTGACCTCGATCTATATGTTCATGAAACGGAAGTTAAATACCTATTTCCCCACGAAATGGAAGTTCAATAGCTTAATCTCCATGAATCGTGGTTACGTCGGTGAATTTTGGGTTTCTTCGGTTTACTGTTTAGTTAACCATTTATAACCAGAGAAAACCCGATTTCGACCCGATTAAACCCAAAAACGCTTCTGTTACCGAAGCCACTACGTTGGAGATTGTAAATGCCCTTCTTCTTCTTCTTCTTCTTCTTCTTCTTCTTCTTCTTCTTCTTCTTCTTCTTCTTCTTCTTCTTCTTCTTCTTCTTCACCAGATTTCAAGATCTGGGTTTCCTTTTTGTCAAAATTGAAATTCGAATTTTCTTCTTGTGATTAAAGCACATATGATTAAGAGTATTATTAGCCAAAATCTCAGAACCTCTAATTAAGATATAGCTTATATGATTCAGATTCACTATCAAGCTCGTTTTTTTAACAGAAACAAAATCAAAACTAAAGGAAACACAAACCCAGATCACAATAATCTACTCATGACCCCCTAACTGGAAACTTGGCCGTTGCCGCCGCGTCACCGTAGCACCAGCCCTCGTCGGAGAAATATCCCTTTCACCACCACGACGACGTTTCACTTTACTCTTCCTAACAAATCCTTAGTAATCGACAAAGGGCTACGTAGCGTGACGTAAGCATTCTTGTAATCAGCTTTCGTTATTTACAAAATCCCACGCTTCTTCTTCTTCCCAATTTCCCATCCATGTTCAGTGTATTCACCTTCTCCACATCGAATCTATAAAAATCAGAGTTTGAAGGGATCTTATGAAATCACGATTAAGAAACTCGAATTTGAAGTTATATAAAAGCAATTGACGAAGATGAGTGAATTTACAGAAAATCAATTAAATTGGAAGTTACAGAGAAGACTAAATACTTGCATCCGAGATCGATTTGGCCAAGAAGAGAGACTGTTCAAAGCTTGTCAAAATCGACGACCCCATTGATCTCATCAACCAAAAGAAGTTAGTCTAATTTGTATTGTTTTTAAACGAAGAAAATCCAACCAAAATATTTTCAGGTGAAGAAGAAGAAGAAGAAGTCGGATCGTTAATGGTCGGTCAAGTTCGGGTTAATTTTGATACTTTCGGTTTAGTTTGGTTAAAATTTGTTTTAAGATGGTTAAGACTGAATTGGTCTATAATAAACCGAAAAAAAACCAGACATGTGGACTAATAGATGTCGAAGTATCAATTCGGGGGGATTTAGATGTATAACTTCCATTTCGTGGGAAAATAGGTATTTAACTTCCGTTTCATGGACATATAGACCGAAGTCAAAGAACGGGCTCTATCTAACGTGATACACATACTTCTCATGGGGAAATAGACCGTTTTTCCCACATTTCTGCTTTTACTTTACAGCCGTCATCTTTTTTTGAAAGATGGATATTGGATTCATTTAAAATTCGAGAAAAACGCCAAGTGGCAAGCCAAAACTTGCAAATAACAATACTTCAGAAAACACCAAAATTTGCATCTACTAACATCAATAAATGATCCACCGTTCAAAAAAATAAAACATTAAATGTTTCCTGAAATTGACCGTTAACGTATTAATGTCAAAAGACCAGACGACAAAAATCAATACTTAAATTGCTCGTATTCTCTAATCTCATTTAGCTTGAAAAAGCTTAAAGTTAATGATATTTTATACCTAAAAATGATAATCATATACTATATAGTTCACGCTGTTAAAAAATAAATCATATGTAAATATAATTCACATTCAAATATGTTAAGAAAAAAGTCAAGCAACCTTGAATATTCGCATTTTAACCAAGGATTCAAATTCAAAAAATCCTCGTACCAATTATCATCTTCAATTAAATTCGCATATATCCAAACAAACCTCCAAATATATAGGATTAGATCAAGCTAATAATGTGAACAAACTAAAGATTTGTTTATATATAAAAGAGAAAAACAATCTGTAAACGACACGTAATTAAAGTATTGTTTGAGAAATATACGAACTTAACGGATACGTAAAACAAACCATTAAATATTTAAATATTATACCCCAAAAAAAAAAAAAGTAGAAAGCAAACAAAATATAAAAGAGTGAGAAGAAGACAGAGAGAAGAAACCATTACCACACACACAAACAAACCCACTCAAAGAAAAAAAACCAAAGCTTTTTGCTTAGATTCAATCCCAAATCAGTAAAAATAGGGTTAATCGAAGAACCCCACCGGAATTCCACTGAGGAATTGCATCAGTCGCGTTCTTGTTGCGGCTTGAGGAAGAAGAAGAACACTTACACTAACCAAAACAAGAACAAGGACGAAGTGAAACCGAAGATGACAACGACGGAACCTACACAGCCTCAGAATCAGCCTCAGCCGATGATGAGCTTGAGTTTTAGTAGTCAGATGTCTAAAGAAGACGAAGAGATGGCTCGTTCTGCTCTCTCTGCTTTTAGGGCTAAAGAAGATGAGATTGAGAAGAGGAAAATGGAAGTTCGTGAAAGGGTTAAGGCTCAGCTTGGTCGTGTTGAGGAAGAGACTCGTCGTCTTGCTAGTATTCGCGAGGTTTGTTTTCATTTTCCCTTTTTAAAGTTTAAAACTTTAAGATCTGAGAGGTTTTATTTGAGCTTGGTCTGAAAATTACATTCATGCAAGTTTACTACTTTTTGTGTGTTTGTGTTTCTCTGTGATTTGAGTTTTTGTTGCTGTTTCTGTGATTTTAGAAGAGTAGGGTTTTGAAAGATTTTGAAATTATAGATTTGGGACTCAGGGGATAGGGGAAATGGGAAATTGTTGTCCTTTTGAAAAACTTCGATGATTTGCGAATGAGATATACATAAATGGTTTAGCTTTGTAAGCAGATGATTTTGCATGTACTCAATTTGTTGAACAAAGGACAAAAATTTCTGTTTTGAGTTAATGAGTTTTGTAAGTTTCTGAAGATTAGATCACACTGTGAAGCAAGTCTATATGTATGTGAAAGCTAAGATTTAGACATGAAGACATGAACATGTGCTTCTTGTAGTTGAGTTAACAAGTTCTGTTCTCAGGCAAGGGTTTAACTTTGTGGAAATTATCTTGGTTTTATTCAGGAGCTCGAGACTATGGCAGATCCCATGAGGAAGGAAGTTAATTGGGTGCGTAAGAAGATTGATAGTGTCAACAAAGAACTTAAACCATTAGGCTCTACAGTTCAAAAGAAGGTAAATACACTTTTCAAGAGCAGTTGTTTCATTCGATTACCCGATAAAATATGTCTCACTACCGGTTGCTATAAAAAGTTTTGGTCTTTACCAAACCCAAACCTTAATGTCAACTGAATTGGTTTTGGGTTGTTATGGTGTTGACAAAAATATTTGGGTTCACAAAAAGTCAAAAATCTTTAGAATTGTTTTGCTATTTGCTTTTTGATTCAATGAACCAAACCGAAACTCATGTTTTTGGTTTGTGTAATGACATGAAAACAGGAAAGGGAATACAAAGAAGCATTGGATACATTCAACGAGAAGAACCGTGAGAAAGTTCAGCTGATCACCAAGCTAATGGAGGTTAGTTTCGAATTCTCAGTTCGTAATTTCGCTGAACAAAATTCGAGTTTTTTTCGCGCTTATTAACCGTATTGATTTGTTTTATGTTTGCTTAATTTCTCCCTGGGGAGATGGGACAGTTGGTTGGAGAAAGCGAGAAGCTGAGGTTGAAGAAGCTGGATGAGCTAAGCAAGAGCATAGACACCGAGTGAATCTATCTCTCACAAGACAAGACCAAACCAATCAAGAATTAATTTGGGTTTAGGGTTATGGTTCTATTTGATGTATTTATTTTTACATTTTGGAATGTTTTCTTAGTTTCTGGGTGTTTTAGTTTCTTTTTTTTTTTGGCTATGATTTGTGGGTTGATTTGTAAAATTATGATGGGTTTTTCGTGTTTTTGATTAACCATTATTATTAGGGAAGGGAAATGGGATAATGCTTCTTCTTAGGCTACTGAATGTTTAAAGGGTTTGTAAGTTTGAATTTTTTTCTTGCTTTTTTCCTTAATATTATTTCATTTGTTATATTGTGTAGCTTTATTTTAATTTCTTTTCCCCCCCAAATTATTTTTAGCTTTTTTAGAAAGTAGCCTCTCGCCGTCGAACGTGTGTGGTGTTTTTGAAATTGGAACGACTTCTTGTCAAAGTAAATCATGACTTTGACCCACCCAAAATAGGAGAAATGGTATTTTCAGTAAAACGGAAAGAATCAAATATTGCTAAAATACACTTTACAAAATGGAAAAGATATGATATTTGCGTGTGCTCTTCAAGTATTTCCATTTTCCAATTATTGTTTTCCTAATCTAGCGAATTCCTTTTTCTTTGTATAATTAGTAGACTCAATCATTCAATCGAGCTGGTAAGATAGAAATATTCGATCCTACAAACACAGCAATGTGCTAATCTACAAACTATTTGGTAGACATGATCTGGAAAGCAAATGCTTTTAGTTATGATATTCAGTGGAGAACCAATTAAGTATACTTTCAAACAGTAGGCCCTTTGAGGCCCATCTTACACAAACAGAATATCATAATTAGCTGTGTTTTCTCATTACAGCATTAGCATGCATGTATATGTTGGCTTTTGGAATGCTTTTGAAGACAATGTAAACACACTACACAGTCTTGTTCATATCCTTGTGCCTGCAAATTAGTTGAGAAGTGTACTCTTCCCATGTTTCTGAATTCTGTTCGAAGCTCTTTGCATCTTTTGGTTATAGCTTCAGAGCAATTATGGTTATACTGTTGAGAACATGAAACAGGAAGGCTGGCTCATAGACAGATCACAGATTTCATGTAAAACTAGAGTTTTTAGAGGCAAGAGAATCAAAGAACCAAAGACAATAATTTAGGTTCAAGAAGCGGTGAATCAACAGAAACTGATTTTCAAATCCCCACAAGAGGTTCAACAGAAATAACCTCAAATGGCGTTTTTTATTTGGGCGTGTTTTCAAACACTCATTCTAATAAACACAACCCAACCAAAATCAAAACACAAATCCAAAAGAAAACCGAGGAAAAAAAACACTTTAATCCGATGTAGAAAAACGAAAAATCCCTAGAAATATATCCAGGAAGATGACAACGTCACAAATGGACAATGCTCAGTACTTGTAATCTTTAACGTGAAGGCTCTCAGCTGCTCCATCACCAAGCTTGGCGTCACCCTTGTAGGTTCCGAGGGTGGCTTCAGAGTTGGCCTTGCACCTCACATACAACGCCTCTTGAGCTGCCTTGACATTCTCCTCTTTGCCTGCCCATGTCTTCAAGGTAGACTGCTGCAACGCACGTCCGAATGAGAAAGACAATGACCATGGCTTCTTGGTCTTCAACTGGTTCATGGCGTTCAAGTTCCTTGTAGCTTCTTCCTCGCTCTGTCCACCGGATAAGAAGACAATGGCTGGAACAGCAGCTGGGACGGTTCTCTGAAGGGCACGGACGGTGTGCTCAGCAATGACTTCAGGTGAAACCTTGGGGCTGTCTGATCCGGGAGTCACCATGTTAGGCTTCAAGAGGGTACCCTCGAGCAAGACATGGTGGTCGCTAAGGGCCTTGTAGCAAGCTGCAAGAACACGCTCAGTCACAGCAGCACACTTCTGGATGTCATGGGATCCATCAACTAGGATCTCAGGCTCAACAATGGGTACAAGACCGTTCTCTTGGCAGATAACAGCGTATCTAGCTAATCCGTAAGCGTTCTCATGGATGGATAGCTCAGATGGCTCGTTCTCACCGATCTTGAGGACTGCACGCCACTTGGCGAAACGAGCACCAGCTTCGTAGTACTTCTTGCATCGGTCACCAAGACCGTCAAGACCTTGAGTGGTGGTCTCACCGTTAGTTCCAGCTAGCTCAACGGTACCCTTGTCAACCTTGATACCGGGAAGAACTCCTCCTTCCTTCAAGATATCAACAAAAAGCTTGCCTATACAAAGAAAACAGCATCATCAATAAGAAACAGTCACAAACCACAAACAGAGTAAAACATTAAGTAAAAGAATTAATCGAATACATACCATCGGAACTCTTTTGGTAAAGAGTCTCTTCGAAGAGGATGACACCACTAAGGCAAGGGAGAGCACCAGGGGCGGTGAAGAGAAGCTCACGGAGGTTACGTCTGTTGGTCTCAACGTTCTCAACGTTGATGCTCGCAAGACGCTTTCCGATGGTACCGGTGGACTCATCAGCGGCCAAAATACCTTTTCCAGGTGTGCCGATGTAGGCAGCGTTGGCAATCAACTCATCTGCGTACGTTTAAAAACGAATATACAAATCAACAGAGAAAACTTCAGATCGTGAATACTGATTAGATCCGTACTAAAACCGATGAGAACAGAATCAGATCTAGGCTAGTTTTTGTCATAGAAATCATCGACAGATCAAATTCAGCTCTCTGAACAAGCTAAGTTATAGAATCAACCAGATCTAGGCGATTAAACACGCTAATAAGAAGCAAAACAAGAGATCTTACGACTACGAATCGAATCCAATAAAAGAATCTAAACACCTAGAGGATAAACAGATTCGAGGGAGAGATCGAGATCTTACCGGCGAATTTGCTGGTGAAGGCAGACATGTTTAGACGGAGAGATCGAGAAATTAGAGAGAAATTTAGAGAGATGCGGAAGAAGGCAGACGAATGGTGGACCAGTAGAGGAAAAGGGCTGCTTTTATAGCTGCGGATGAGAGTCTATTGGTTGGTGAAAAATGTTAATTAAGGGTCAGATCTTTGCATGTTCCCCAAGAAATAGCTTTTTCAGCCGTTGGATCTTTCATTGGCAGTTTTGGCTAATCTTAGTTCTACCCCTTAATAGCGTGTTTTCACAGCAAATTAGCTTAGGGGTACTTTGGTAAATCCATAAGTTATTAAAGGAAAAGCATGACTTCGGCCTTACCACGGCCCAAACCGTCAAGCGAATTATTATTCTAGATCGTAAGATAATAAATCCCCCAATTAATTCTAATCATCTACTGTAGTATTTTTTTAATCGTAATAAACACTTAATAGTTGACTACGAATCTCAATAGAATATTCTTATTGAAAATGTTATGTGTTTCTAGATTCACAGAAAAGTGCGACTTTGATATCTCCGAACATTGAAAATTAAAGATCTGAGATTTAGACAGAGACACATAACCGAAAACAGCTGCGACTCTTCAAACCCATGAATCATCAAAAAACTATCGAAGTCTTTTGCTTTCTACCGACACAGTTTGTAGTATAGAACTTTCTTTTTGTTATTGTTAACATTTTGAAGTTTTAAAGGTGTCTTTTAGGATCTTCAATGGTTTATTGTTTCTTATATTTTTAGGTTCAAGTAATTATAAAATGATACATCTTATTATTATAACAAAATATGGGATTTTTTACACGTATTTCAACATTTTTTTAATAAAGCTCGTTGACAAATAAATAGATAAAAAAAACCCAAAAAACTCTATGACATACTAAAGTAAAATATGATTATAAATGGAAACAACTGTTACGACATTCCACAATATTTAAGAAAGAAAATGATATAGGAAATACATAATTTATGAAGAAAAAAGGAAACAAAATATACCCCAAAAATAAAGAATATATGTATATTGACATGTAAATAGAAACACGGATGTGTATGGTCCATTTAACTGTCTCCAAGTCGATTAAGATGGTCCATCTAACTTTTGTAATCGTCAATTTCTATTTTTGTGATATTTTTCTGTTTTCTCCAATAAACATATTCAACATCACTTTGTTCCTGTATGAGTATTTTTCCATTTACATAAGTACTATATTACTACATCATGACATTTTACATCAAACAAATTATTTTTCTTGCTTTAAAATAGCCCAAAAATAAAATCAGAAAATGCTGATATCAGTGACTAAAGTTGAATTCTCAAACGTGTACTTCAGAAGTATCAATCAACAAATGCTAAAAGGCCATAATGGGATCTTCTAATGTCACATTGAAAACAAGACGATGAAAAATAAGTCACAAGAGGATGAATCTGAAAGGATTCATGACTTGGCACATCTAATAAACATAAGGAAGTATTCTCCAGGGGACAAGTCTAAGATACTCTGCCCAGATCTCCTTGTACTTTTCTGCACATCGAACCTCGTCTCTTCGTTCTCTCCATATCAATAGTATCAGAAGATATATTGGGTAGAAATATGGAACCGGAGAACTGAGAATACACAATACAACAGCTTTGGAAAATGAACTTGAAAGCTTTGGAAAGTTCAAATGGTGGTCTTAAAAAATAAGAGAATCTCATACTCTATCAATCGATTATAGTCAGGTTAGAGATCAACATCTTTAATTTAAAGCCAGATCAACTTAGAAAGTTTGATATTGGTATTAGTCTCTACATGACGTTTGGTAGTTGTAAGATGAACTCAAGCAGAAGAAGTTACCTTACTCCACAGGGCAAACTGAAGGAGAGAGCAAGCATCAAGTCGCCAAGGTAATTACAATGCCTTGCAATTCCCCTGTAATATATAAAAACAGCTCCTAAGTTATCGGAAATGTGTTACTGCAGAATTTTCACTTCTTTATTCCCAGCATGATGAACAATCAAACACAGAGATGACAAAACCAAGCAAAGAAATGAGAGAAAGATAAAAAAATAAATATCATACCAATAGCCTGAAGCCAGTAACTTTCCACCAACTACCACTGGAGGCTTTCCCCATATAGGTGTTTTTGGGTTCTTCTTAAAGATATGTTTTTGTTTGTTAGCCCCTCGAAAAACCATGTACCTGCCAAAAAATAAATTGTTGGTTTCTTAGTGTAGTTTCTAAGAATGTAAAATAACCCAATGACTCAGAACTTACCCTATTACGAAGACAAGGCAATTGGCTACAATAGCAGGAATTGTTAGTTCTACTTTGTTGTGCAAAAGCCACCAGCCCTGTACCAGAAAGAAGACAATCCAGTCACAGAGTGATCAAGCATTCAAGAACCTACTGTCAATAAGATAAATTATGTCTTGTTTATTTTCAAGCTCACAGTTACATGCCTGAATGCTGAAAGTGAAAGGAATCCACAGGAGATCACCAAACACTAGCATGAAGCCCAGTCTCTCTGCAATTATGTCCCACCTGAGAAGAGTAAAATCAAAGTAGATGAAATAATGGAAAAGATCAGTTTTTGGTAGCAAATGTGTTTCTTCAACAAGCCATGAACTTACGTAGAGGTCATGTATTCTTCATGAACAAAGTAGTCCAATATATATAACTGCAGTTATAAAACTAATCAAAACTAACAAAACACAGATGATCAGATTCAAGAAGCAGGAGTTGTAAGTAAACCCAAATTTACCGCACAGAAGATCTGGTAAAGAATCATCGACTGACTCAAGGAACCATTCTGCACACTTTTTGCCAGAATAGAGAGATTAATAAGCAGCCATCCCATCATCCCAGCTCTAACAAAGAAAAACCTACACAAAGAATAATTCCCATCATCATAAACATGCAGAACTGTTGCTAGTATTATTAAACTACTACTCGATGTGTACTGAGCAAACTGAAGCAATGATGCAGCCCTGGCTGACAAATAGAAGGAAAAACGGAAAGATGGATTACTTGAGATCGATGCTCATAAACTGAGGATTCAGCTGTATTCCAAACCACCTATCACATGAAACAAACAAGATGAGAAAAAATTGAATCAGTTGTTTGGAAGAAGCAAATGAAAGACATAAACCAGAACTTTTAGCTTCAATAGAAAAGCTCAAAATTGCTGTCAATAGGAATAAAGAGGAAGCTACAACCGTTCTAGGAGAAATTACTCAACATTCTACGAGGTTCTATAGAATCATCTTGTCCAAATCATTGTTTCAAACTCTATACAGTACCAGATTACAGATTATTCCTTAGTTTTGTTCTGGCAGGAGTCAAAATATATAACTTTAAACAACGTTTTGTGTAACAAGAAAGGAGTAGATCTACAAATGTATTATGCCAGTACCAATCATGTACAAGATTTCCTGAGACATGAGGCTTTAGGGAAGAACTCTTATCGGAAGAATTTCGCCCAGTAACATACAATGCTAATGTCACCTGAGAATATTAAGAAAAATCATGGAGATTACACACTACACCACCAAAAGCAAATCCGATCCTGTGGTAATAAGATTAAAATCAAGACAATCTAAATTAGGATTGATCGTCTTACCAAAACACAGAAAATAAAAGTAGCAGAGAGTAGCTCAAGTCCTCTATCCGCAACCACCTGCAAAAAACATCTCAATGGTATGAATACAAGAAAGCAATTGCAATAAACAGATATTAGAAACACAATTTCAATCTTGGTACTACACTTACAAGAGGTGATACAATGCCAATTTTTGCACAGATTCCCAAAATAGCTACCAACAATGTTAATGCCAATAGACCTGAAAATGTTTTGGGGGAGAGTTAACAAAACTAATGGAAATAAAGGTTCGAGCTCACCGAATTGTAGAGAGACTAAATCAAATCAAATTAACCATTGCATCGGTAACGAGGTTGAGAGCCATCTGATAAAAGAACGCCGCGAATAACTTTCCCGGGGAGAATTTCTCCGGCAACGGCCAAGTAAACGAAGTAAAACACCAGCACATAAACCTAAAATCTCAGAACGAATTTAACAAAAATTGATCAAAATCACGAGAACAATTGCGACATTGAAATCAAAAGCTAAAGAGACAGCTCACAGATTGCAATGAGGGAATAAGAGATGGTAGAAGAACACCGAGATCCATATCTAGCAGCATTAAGCAGAAGAAGGATTTTCAAAGTAGAAGATGAAGCATTCGAAATCGTTTGTATCGCCTTTTTCTCGCTTTGTTTAATTTCAGATGACAGAAGAAACAATTTCAATTTTTTTAGTGGGAAGCTCGTGGACTCTGATGAGCTCACTTGTGTGATTCGAGAAAATTACTAAAAAGAACCCTTAAACTCTTCATTTCTTACGAATAAAGCCTTAAACTAATGATTGTTCGAACTAAAACCCAAAAGTGCAACTTGAGCCGAACGGCTCGCTTTAGGAATGTTAATGTGGATAAAGACCGTGGGATGGCCTGGCCAGTCTTGAATAAATCCGTAGATTAGCTTAGCTACTTTTTACATTTTTTGGGGTTAAAACGACGTCGTTTGATTAGTAAAATCGTTAAACTGATGCAACCTCGTGGATTTTTTAGAGTATATTTTAACATCGGAATTTTTGATTAATAGGACAATGTCTTTTTTTGTTTTTTTAAGAATGAATACAAGAAAAGGAATTATCGATACAACAATTTTCAAAAATTCGTCCTATCCAATCTAGTTTGTCGGTATGCGATTGGTATCCCTTCATGTATATCAACTAAACACCGGAAAAGAGTTTGAACCAACGAGGGATATCAAATATGAAGTTTTCCATTAATGTGTCCTATTTTCTACCATTGATAGTTGTTGAGAGACTTTTTTGCAATTATGTGTCCTCTTTTCTACCATTGATAGTCCACGATAGTTGTTGAGAGACTTTTTTCCATTATGATCCATCTAAAACCGCGGATTCACAATGCATGCAAAGGGTGAAGGAAGCTAAAACCTTATGTTTCAAGAGTATATAAAGCTTTTGTTTACTTTTATGATGCTGCCAATATATAAGGGTGCCAGAATGTTCCGAATATTCATCTCGATCTAGTTCTCTCACTTTGGTTCCCAAAAGGTTACATCATGGTTGCATTTGAGCCATCCAAACGGAGGCTGTATCCACTTGGTTCTATTAGTCGGTGTTGTTATTTCCACAAATGTGTTTTAATTTTGTTCTTCTTCAAGCATAATAATTACCTTTATCCATGTTACCATCGTCGTTTGCCTTTTTAATTACATCAGCCGGTTCCCAGGTTCGATGATTAAATACTATGGAAGAAGCCAAAAAGGAAGAGCTCGATGATGAGATTCCAACACTTGACAAATTAGAGTTGACATGATTACTAGATGCATTATGCATTAAACGTCTACCTTATAGTCTTATACGTTAAACGTCCATATAACATCTCCAGTTCTCCACCGATCAAATTTCACCAGATTTTTTTTTTCTTTCAAATCACATGTTGGTTGGTGTATACTATTTGGTAAGCTATTAAAAGAGCAAATAACATGCGAGTCGTGGGGCTAGTTGACCAGAAGCAAGTTGCACACTGCATCTATACAATTGTCAATAAATTTTTATTTTATTTTGCTTTATTATTTGACAATTTTCCGTGCAACCCACACAAATCTTTTTTTGGATTAAATTTTGTATTTATGTTAGCCTTTAACTCTCTTAGATACAAGAGATAAATCATAAATGTCGTCAAATTTCATTATTTAAAAAGAAGGGTAGGTTATGAACATTTATCAGAAAATTTTTAAATTTCCGGTTTGTTCCTTTGGGTTTACGGATCTTTTTCTTTTATAGAAAAGAAATATTATATAAGATGGTGTCTTCTCCAACCGAATGACCAGCGTTTTCAGTGTATTTGGAGGAATTTCAGAGCGACAAGGAGGAGTTTTCATCTTTTTATTTATCTTTAATTTCTTGTAGGGCTAATGTCAAAGCGGATAAACTGGCACGAAAAGTTCGTACAGAACCGCTTCATATCACATATGTAAACAACATTCCTCAGGAATGACTCTTTTGAGCTCGAATTAATTTCGGATGAAAAAAAAAAAATAAAAAAAAAATATTATTAAAATTTTACATTTTTAGTCGTCGATTATAAGAAAGGAGGTGGCGAACCACCACACACGCGGAAACAAGAACAACCAATGAAAATTCGATAAATGGCTGAACACAATTGTTAAGAGCCGTTTGTTTTTGGCAACAAAAGTGCTCGAGACGAAGAGGTTGAAGAAGAAGAAGGTAAACCCTAAATTCCCAATCTTCCCCTATAACTTCTTACTCAAATCCTAGGGTTTCAAGTTTGTTCATTTCCCTCGCCTGTTAAATTCGAATCCTTTTCGTGTATGTGCATCGGATTCTGGGAACAAATCGTGTTTATTGTGAATTGGGTTTTATTTAGATTTGTGCTTTGATAAAACAATTCGTTGGTTTTTGAATTAAAGGTTGAATTTTTCATTTGCAGACACGAGTTTGATATCTAAAGGAATCATTTTTGACGGATTCAGGATCTAAGAAAACCCTAGATTGATTGAATATGAGTACTCAAGCGACGGGTCCTTCTTCAACATCAGGGAGGAGAAGCACTTCAACTGTACGGAGAGGACCACCACCTTCTAAGAAACCAGTCCAATCAGAGAACGGAAGTGTCAATGGAAACACCTCCAAACCCAATTCACCTCCTCCTCAACCTCAATCTCAAGCTCCTTCTAATGGAGAGAGAACAGTGAAGAAACTTCGGTTATCGAAAGCTCTTACTATTCCTGAAGGAACTACTATTTTCGATGCCTGTCGAAGGATGGCTGCTCGTCGTGTTGATGCTTGTTTGTTGACTGATTCAAGTGCGCTTCTTTCCGGGATTGTTACTGATAAAGATGTTGCAACAAGAGTGATTGCTGAAGGGTTGAGACCGGATCAAACTTTGGTCTCTAAGGTTATGACTAGGAACCCTATTTTTGTGACCTCTGATTCGTTGGCGCTAGAGGCTCTTCAGAAGATGGTTCAAGGGAAATTTAGGCACTTGCCTGTTGTAGAGAATGGTGAAGTCATTGCTTTGTTGGATATTACAAAGTGTTTGTATGATGCTATTTCTAGGATGGAGAAAGCTGCGGAACAAGGCAGTGCTTTAGCAGCTGCAGTGGAAGGTGTGGAGAAGCAATGGGGAAGCGGATATTCTGCACCGTATGCTTTCATTGAAACCTTGAGGGAGAGAATGTTTAAGCCCGCTTTGTCAACGATTATCACAGAAAATTCAAAGGTTGCACTTGTAGCACCATCAGATCCTGTTAGTGTTGCTGCGAAAAGGATGCGGGATTTGCGGGTTAACTCTGTAATCATTTCCAACGGGAACAAAATCCATGGAATCTTGACTTCAAAGGACATTCTGATGCGAGTGGTGGCACAAAATTTACCTCCTGAATTGACTCTTGTTGAGAAGGTAATGACACCGAATCCTGAATGTGCATCGCTAGAGACAACGATTCTGGATGCGTTGCATATAATGCATGATGGGAAGTTTCTACATCTTCCAATTATAGATAAAGACGGATCAGCTGCAGCTTGTGTAGACGTTCTTCAGATTACTCACGCAGCTATTTCAATGGTCGAGAACAGTTCTGGAGCTGTGAATGATATGGCGAACACGATGATGCAGAAATTCTGGGATTCAGCTCTTGCGTTAGAGCCACCAGATGATTCTGACACTCAAAGTGAAATGTCGGCGATGATGCATCATTCAGATATAGGGAAGCTCAGTTCTTACCCATCTCTAGGACTCGGGAATTCATTTTCATTCAAATTCGAAGACCTTAAGGGCCGTGTACATCGGTTTACTTCCGCAGCTGAAAACCTCGAAGAGCTGATGGGTATTGTGATGCAAAGAATTGGCAGCGACAACAATGATGTGGAACAACGGCCTCAGATTATATATGAGGACGATGAAGGTGATAAGGTATTGATTACATCGGACAGCGATTTGGTTGGTGCTGTTACTCTTGCTAGGTCTACAGGACAAAAGGTTTTGAGGCTGCATCTGGACTTCACTGAGTCAACAAGGAGCTTGAGCTCAGAAACCACCCAACTCAAGGAAGGGGATTCTAGAGATAGAGGAAGCGGATGGGTTTCATGGCGTGGTGGTGTGGTGGTTACAGGAGCTGTTGTCCTAACAAGCATAGCCATAGTTGTTTACTTGAAGCGTTCAAAGAACTGATTTTTGCTGAAGCAAACTGTTTGGGAGGCAGAACAAAACTTTTTTTCTTTGTTTTTTGGTAAGTGTCATACAGTTTGTCTCTTTTGTCTTTTGGGGTTACATGTCTTTGCGGATGCAAAAAAAAAGATACTGTGTCCCTAAGATATTAAATTAATGGGGAAAAACCCTATTCAGATTAGTCAATTTGACAGAGTTTATGTAAAACCTCTGAAACCGAGAAAATAAAACCAGGAATATCATTGCACTACAGATTCTGGTATTTGATATAATTGAATATGTGTTTGCTTCCTTCTTGTGAATGTGTTTGTGTCACTGTTGCTTACCCAGAGTGTGGATATGAGGAAGAAAGAGGAACATATGGAGGAAAATTTAAGTGTGATCTATCAATGTGCTGAGGATTTTTTGGATGTGTGGTGTGGTTTGTTTGCATATTAAGCAAACCAACAAAGAAATCACAATCTCGACGCAAAGATGCTGTCATCATGAGAGGTAATAAACGTATGTTGAAATAATGAAATGAGTCTCCAAAAAACAAGATATGAATACAAAGATTGTATTCTTTTATTGCAGGTTATAAACTATATGAGTGACTAAGGTAACACAATTGCAGGTTTGCCCGAGAGGTTAAGGGGGAAGACTTAAGTTCTTCTGCACATAAGTGCGCGTGGGTTCGAACCCCACAGCCTGCAGCTTTGTTTTGGACCAATCATAATGAGCCTCGTTTTGTTGGAGCCGGGCCGACCCAGCTATTATTTCAACAACTCTAGTGTGAAGACGAATCTCATTGGGTCATAGTCACCGACTGCTATGTTTGGATGATTTTGAATAAAAAGATATTGTGGGGTTGATTTTGAAATCACTCTTTTTTGATTAATCACAAATTTTGATTCTGAGGTCGTCTAACTTGTGGTTATTGGATATGGGGATGAAAGAGGAACATTTTCCTTTGTGTTAAGCTTTTGGTATATATTTTGAGGCTTTTTACCATCAATAATGTTTTACATAGCAGTCTAAGAATATCCTCTTTAGGAGATGGAATCAGAGTCACGGTTCCAAACTTGCTTCATCACATTTTATTTCTCACCCATACCAACTTACTCAAGTTGCTATCTACAGTTAATCAAA